CATTTATGAGTAAAAAAAAAAATTAAAAAAAAAATATATATACACACACACACACACACACACATACAAAAACCATAAACCAAAATTTTCACCAAGAAGCATATATGTAATTTTATTGTTTTAAAAAACGTTCAAAATCGATGGATAATAAACTTTTAATTATAGGTTGAACTGTTTTAAAAGTTGTTATTAAAATCACTCAAAATCAATCCACTCATAATCACTTAAAATCGATACGTTAAAAAATGCCCATAACGGCTACCCGAACTCCCAAACAGGCCCTTATTGTCGTGCTCAACACGATCCTTTTCAGATGTAAATTATTTACTATTTAGCCATTCCAACACATTTTACATCCAAGGACCAGACCAAGGTGGTTAACATTTCTATGCTACTGCTACCATTTGTATACATATCCTCCGTGTATATATATATATGCCCTTTCGAGTCCTTTCACTCCTGTCTCTCACTAGTTACAAATTAGCTTAGCTACTCTCCAGCGCCATGGCCAAGGCACCACTACTTCTTGCTCTTCCACCACTCTTCTTCTTCTTCACCTTCTTCTTTGCTGGGGCTGTTGTTGGGTGGAGGCCATGGCCGAGTCAGAAGCCAAACACTACAGATTTTCTCTTCGGTGGGTCGAAAAAATATGAAGGTTCTTCAGAATTTGTTCGCTTGAAGTACCACATGGGACCTGTACTCACAGCCAACATCACTGTTTATCCCATTTGGTATGGCGTTTGGAAAAAATCCCAAAAACGTATAATCCGTGAATTTATCAGCTCCTTCTCGGCCGTGGACTCCAAGTCGCCGTCGGTTTCGGGGTGGTGGAAAACGGTTCGACTTTACACCGATCAAACAGGAGCCAACATTTCTCGCAATGTCCATATCGGGGAGGAGAAAAACGACCGGTTTTACTCCCATGGAAAATCCCTAACTCGGCTTTCGGTCCAGTCAGTGATAAAATCCGCTGTCACCGCCACCACCCGGCCACTTCCGATCAACCCTAAGAGCGGCGTTTACCTCTTATTGACCTCCGACAACGTGTACGTACAGGATTTCTGCAACAATGTATGCGGGTTCCATTACTTTACCTTTCCCGCCATTGTAGGGTACACGCTACCGTACGCCTGGGTGGGTAACTCCGCCAAGCTGTGCCCCGGTGTATGCGCGTACCCTTTTGCCGTACCCGAATACATTCCCGGGTTGAAGGCGGTGAAATCACCAAACGACGACGTAGGAGTGGACGGCATGATAAGCGTGATTGGTCACGAAATAGCGGAGCTATCCACCAACCCGTTAGTGAACGCCTGGTATGCGGGTCAGGACCCGGTTTTCCCAGTGGAAATAGCAGATCTTTGTGAGGGTATTTATGGGACTGGAGGAGGTGGGTCGTACACTGGGCAAATGTTGAACGGTAAAGATGGTGCCACGTATAACATGAATGGGATCCGACGGAGGTTCTTGGTTCAGTGGGTTTGGAATCCCTTGGTAAATTACTGTACTGGCCCTAATGCGCTGGATTAGTCTGTGCTTCCTTTACAATTTGTATTTTGGGTGGTGATATTTGCTTATGTGGTTTGAATCATTTGGTCGATTATCATTTTCTTTTTTTCCTTATGTTAATAAGTAATGTTTAATTAATTTTTGAAAATTGTTAATCTTTTTTTTTTTTTTAATATAATAAAAAGTTGCTTAAGGCAAAGAAATAATCAATTATTTGTATGTACATTCTTGAAGATATTTTTATGTTACTCTTTTGGGTGGTTGTAGATAGATATTTCACTGATCTTTAGGGACTTTGAATATTTTGGAACTTGGAATAAACTGTACAAGAATATAGTAGTCGTGGCGTGGGGGCATTAGAGTCACTTTACTACTTTAAAGGAACTCTTGCTTTTCTAATTTGTAATAAAAAAAAACAATTAAACTATTTTGTTAGAATTTTTTTGACATAATGGTAGATGTTTTCTCACAGCACGTGGGTCGTCTCGTGTTAATAAAAAAGTTCAAAAAAGAAGTGGGTTCCCCACACAATGTGAGTGTCGCTCATCCATTATGTTATAAAATTCTGTCACCATAGCACGCTTGATAAAAAAAAAATATTTTTTTACCTATTTTAAATTTTAATTAACAAAAAATAATTTAGATTAAAACTTTTTACTTATAAACTCTTTAAACTTGATCATACTTGTTAATCTCAAAAACATGGGGGAAAAACTCTTTATCAGCCGTGTTTGTTTCCAATTATTTATTTATTAAAATGAAAAATATGATCATTATTCATCATATTAAGCCATTATATTTGATTTTCTATTTTTTGTGTGGAATCCGTAACGACTATATTTTTCATTCTTATTATTACATTAATGTGGCTCAAACTGAGCCATAATCACATCTTCAAGGCTAAATAGCATAAGGATACCCTCTTGACCCTTTTGTGTCCTTTTCTTTTGTTCTTGTTTCATTACTTTCATCCGCAAAGATGAGGAGGAAGAAAATAAGATTTCAAATGCTTTTCCCTGCATTATGCCATCATAGAAAGGGACTTGCCAAAAATCATGTCCCTAGGAATCTTACAATGTTATGATTTTCGAATGAATAAAAATTCAGAAATTTTAATAGATATTTCTTTGAAAATTGGATATATCAACTTGACTAGACAGTATAAATATAAAAAAATATTGAAATTGACCTATTTATCACCCGTGAACTCGTACCCCCTATTGATTAGAGTTATTTAAAATATTGAAATAATATAAACGACGTAAATTGATAGGTATCATGTGATGTTCTATGCTAATCTTGAACGTGCTAATAAATACAACACATGTTTTATTATGAACAATTTTAGACAACATACTTATAATCTAATATGTCATAAATGTAGAAATTAGTTAATTGTAACTACAGTGCGAGTATTCATCACTTCTTTCGAGAGAGAAAGGAGTGAAAACTAAAACATTTGTACGTCAAAATATTTCAACATAAAATTTACTTAATTTTTCCATAAATAAAAGCACCAACTTATCTTACCTAGATTCAATTCTCAAAACGAAAAATCAAAATATGCAATGTGTATTACTTCTTTTGGTTCTTCCTTCAATCAAGTTATGAATTTCAAATACATACTCAATTTTATATTTTTCCAAAAACAAAATAAGTGTTATGCCAATTTGACAATAATAAAACTAGGGTTACGCTATGGGGACATGCCTCTGTCCAAATAGGGGCATGTGTGGCGGCCCCCTATAGAGGGGTTGTCCGTCACAGGCTCCTGTTTGGATAGAGGCCTGTCCAAGCAGTTTAACTCATTGTTGTCACGAAATCGTACTGATTATATTATTATTATTAATTTATATGAAAAGATGGGAGAGAATGAATGCATCTTGCTTCCACTAAAAGCAAGCACTCTCAAACAAAAAAGCACAAATTATGCATATGAAAAATCATTCGCCCATTACATAATTATTATGTTACGCAATAAAAAATTAGGCCAGGAAGTCAACAGCGGCGGAATTTGTTTGACCTTTGAATGAGACATCAATTGAAAAGAAATATTTGTTTTATCACAAGTAATCATAATTTCTTAATTTAATCCAACTTTTTTTAGGAATTTGTCCCGCCACTCTCTATAATTTACAGCTATCCAACTTTTTTTTTCTAATTTACAGCTATCCCACTTAATTTTTTAATAATCCGATTCCAAGTTCATCGATCACTTCGTGTTATGTAAGAGAATATACGTAAATATCAATTTTATTTTATTTTTTTTACGTGAAAGACAAATATTTACATGTATAACTTAATTCAAATATGAAAACTTTAAATTTCTAAGTGAAATTCAATTCATACTGAATGCATGTCAATGAGACTCAGATCATTTCGTAGTCGATATTAGAATAGTATATTTGTAGCATTTGAAGAAATATAATTATTAAATAGAGAAATAACGTAGCTAACACAATCAAGGAAATGAAACTTAATCTGCTGCTTTATTTTTGGTATTATATTAATTTTTTTTTCTTAATAATCCAATTTGAGAGGTTAAATGAGATAAATTAGCAAACTCGGGTGAATTACCCAAATGATTATTGAACTTTAAAAATCACCAAATTCATCACTGAATTTTACAAAAGATTTTCACAGGATTGCTGAACTTTAAAAACCATCTCATTATCACTGAACTTTGCAAGGGATTTTCACAGAGTCAGTGAACTTTACAAAAGATTTTCCAGGGATCACTAAATTTAGTAACCTCTGAAAAATCTTTTGCAAAGTTCAATGATGAATTATGTGATTTTTAAAGTTCAGTGATCTCGTGAAAATCTTTTGCATAACTCAGATATGAACTTGATGATTTTTAAAGTTCATTAACTCCGCGAAAACCTTTTACAAAGTTCAATGACTATTTCAATAATTCACTCTACTAAGCTCTCTCGATTCCGAATTGGCCGGTCAAGGAAATCTTATCAAAAATCGATCAGAAACAAAGAAAAAAAGGAACAAGCCATGAAAATGGTTAAAGGTTTAAAATATAAATATAGGTAAACATACGTAGTTATCTTGAATATACTATTACACATTTAACTTAAATTCATAAGTGGGATATCCGCCTACGAAATAATACCAGTAGTAATGTTTCAAGGTAGATATGCATTTGAACAAAAATCCAACATCCAATAAGTTTGCAAAATACCTTAATGTCCCTTCTTGAATTGATTGATGCCCAAAAATCTAATTACAATCGCAATTCTTTTGTTTAAAACTCATTATTAGACTATACATACCATATAATGTGTAGTACAATCTACCAAAGATATAACCTTTTTTCATGCATATACAACATAATTTCCGTTTCACCCTCATTTAGGTCACAGACTTCCTCGCCAAGGACCTTAGCCAGATTTAGTATACACAAGGTAAAACAACATATGCCACCGCTATCAGATCAAAAGAATCCACTTGAAATTCTGCCAAAACTAGTCACACAAATACAGTAAGAAAAAAAATCCACCGAAAGGTAGCGGCCGTGGGTTTCCCCGTCATTAAAAAAAAAAAAAATCTAGTCACACAAATACAAAGATGGTCTATCCATTCCATTTCTTGTAACTTTCAAAAATCGTAAGGCTATAGAATAATGGAACTATTAGAACACGATGATACAATTTTACCCATAACGCTACAACACAACTCAATCTAAAGAATGTGTATAAGATTTTCTAAGCTGCTTTATTAGAAAACAAGTACATGTTTGATATGCAGTATTAGATGATAACCACTTTTTCTTTCCTTTAACTCTGTTAAATGTTGTCTAAGCCAATCTCACCGAACATGTCAAAAAATTTCCCCCGTCCCAAAAAGCCATGCCCAGTTTTGCCAAGCAATGAAACTTGTAATCAAATTAACGCCACTCCAAATAGCCATGTTCCCCTGTTACCTTGATGTAAGCTATGAACCGTTCTACACAAACTATTTCTTGTTTCACCTTGCTGAATTGGGCAACTTTAGCTAAGAGTTCAAAGCTTCATCTCTTCAGCGAGGCTTGTAATGTCGGGAATAATGCCGCCATTCTGATTTCTTATCATACCACTTCCTACGAGATCATTCAATATATCAGCCGGATCTTTGGCTCCACCATGCTGTAAGAACTTTGTTCTAAGAGAAGATCCTGTGGCTAGCGATAATGGATCTTGTTGACACAGTTTTTGCCATATTGTTGCAGCAAAGCATTTTGCATACAAGTAGCTATAGTAACCTGCGTATATGAAGCAGGAAAATCATACCAACATCCCCCTTAAATTTCAATAAATTATTAATCAGATTGGACAATCACATGTTTAACATGACAATGCTTCCTTGTAAAGCATATAATTATTTTCTTAACATGACAGCGTATCAAAAGTGGATTAGATATATCATATATATGTAAAGAGATCGAGAGAACTCAGTAAACATATTGGCAAGCAAAATTGCATAGACATTCGACGCATGGGGTTAACAAGGTACTCTTGCCTCTCAAGTAGTTATTTTGAATTTCACTATCTTTTCATACAGTCAATTTATTTCCTTTTTCCCCATCTACAAAAATATTTTAGATAAATCAATGTTTACTAGTTATTTTGTAGTTAAGACATGCAAATATCCAGTAATTCTTGATTAGGGACATACCTGCTCCGTAAGTAACAAGATGGCTGAATCGGGCGTGCCAGTGTGTTCCTTCTACATACTTCCAACAGGTATGCTCTCTTCTCAAGTCTGCAACTATAGATGATGTGTCCCGAGTCGAGGATAGCTGTGCTCCATGAAGCGTTTGGTCAATCAAGGCATATAAGATCTGATAAAAGAGGTAGGGAAAAAAAAAAAAAAACCATTTAAGATTCACGTTGAGTCGAGCCATCTATTATTAAAGTAGAGAACACTAATAAACGTATTTAATGTCTGTTCTCTCGGACAGCAAACCTGACGTTGCAACTCAATAGCAGCAAACATATTTTTCGCTCCTAGCATCGACTTCACCAATTCCTCCGGTATTGGATCGCCTGTTGAATAATGCTTAGCGAATTTCCTCAAGAAACGATAATCCCATGAATAGTACCTGTCCGTCACCAGGAAGAAGAAAGCCCCCATTAATAATTAAGCTATGACTTCAATTTTTTGCACCACTTTGAAGTGTGAAAATTGATGAGGGCAATCGAAAAGAATAGCATGAAAGATTTTTTTTCTTCTGTTACTGCTTTGACTAGCCTCAAGACCATGCTACTTGAGAACATAATACTAAGCACAAAAAGAAAACAACCTGAGTCAAGTTCATTTATTCTTATAATTTATGCAACATTTTTAAGCATGTAGAGTCAACCGTACTCACTCAAAGAGGTTCGAAGGTGTTTCAGCAAAATCAAGGACCACCCTGGTCCCTGAAAAATGTTGGTAATCCTGAAACAGAATTCATTCGGAAAAATTTACATCATGGTCATTCAAATAATGGCAACGTCCATGATTAGCTTAAATGTAGCATTTTACCGTTCTTGAAAGCAATGAATGAAGAGCGTGTCCAAACTCGTGAAAGAGTGTTTCTACATCCGAATGGTGAAGCATCACTGACGTGAAATTTGAGCCCGAAAAACTGCAAACAAGAGCTACAATCTGCATTTTGATTAAGTAGAAATCTTTTCCATAAGGAGGTACAAGAAAAAGGAAAATGCAGAAATCTTTTCACGTACAGGCAATTGGTACTCTGTTTCTGAGATTCGACGCCCTCCCTTGATAGCAAAATGTGCAAAAATAGGATGCTTATGCTCTCTTGATTTCAAATCAAGGTACAAGTATCCCAAATCACCCTGCATCATGGGATATAATGAAACAGTTCAAAGGACGATGTTCAAATTGGTTTCTGTAAGTTCTCATGTGCAATAATGTCCAAAGAGGCTATTATTGATATTGAACACGATTGCTAAAATATTTGATGCTTCTAAATTCTTTTAACCCCGTAATGAAAGATGAAAATGGTTAATACTGCAGTTCTGGGAACAAGTCTCATAAGATAAAAGAACAGTAGTTCTGGACTTGGTATTACTTGTCCATTCCCAACCAAATTACTCAACAAAGATTTACCCACTAGGAAAGATTAGACAACTCTCTTGATTCTGCATGGGTGTGATGCAATCAGCAAAAAAGCACATGAAAAGGGACAAATAAATTCAACTCACTTGCACACTCAAACTATAATATAAAGCAATTCGTGAAGCTGCCAGACATTTACCTTTCCCACTCCAAATAAAAACCCAACCCCTTTCCAAGAAATAAGCGTGATTAATGGATCTCAGAACTTCACCAGTTACAAAATTAACAGTTGAAATTCCGTAAGATACATATGTGATATTAATAAGAGCATCCTAAAGCATGCAACTATTCCGTGTAAATAACAATAACACAATCCCTTTTCTTTTCCTCTTCCCTATAGAAGCGGTAGGGGACAGGGTAGTTTCCATAACTTAAAGCAATGACTCCACGTACGCACCTCATCGGGATGATGTAGAGATAATTTGAGCACATCTGGATGCCATGATTCACCAGGGGCAAGAGGAGTCTCATGACACTTCACATGAAACAAGGACTCAGCCAGCATTTTTAAGCCCTCGATACATTGTGGCAAAGGAAAGTATGAAGCCAAAACCTGCAAAACTTGCACAGGAGTTATTATTAAATCTTCAAAGATTGAAGGAAAGAAACAAATTATACAGCCAAAATCGAGATGAGGATTCTCAATAAGAGCAATATTCTAACAGAAAAATTTATCTCGAATGATAATTGCCTTTTAATAAAGTGAAGAAGTGCATGAGTTCATAATTTAGCCCTTGTTTGATTCCCATTTTTTTCAATATACATTTTTCTCTCTCTTCTTTTCAACCACACATTTTTCAATAAAATAATATTACACACAAATTCAAAATTTTTCCTTATTTTTAAACCACACATTTCCCATCAATCTACTATTACAAAATGTATTCTAACCCAAAAAATGGGTCTCAAACACTCCCTTAAATTCCTGAAACAAAGAGAACGAATTCCAGTCTATTCTGGATGTCCTTTTATTATTGCTAACATTCTTCTTTTGTCCACAGAGCCAAGTGATGAGATGAGCGGTGAGCAGGGTAATGACTACTCGAGGAAATTAGTCTGAGATTGCCAGGCTTCTGCAAAAGTGGAGAGAATAACCTCAAGGTTCTAACCTTGAGAGGCAGAAATAATTTCCCTTCCAACTGTTTAGGCTTTCTTCGGATAGGCTACACTAAAACAAGCCATGACCTGCCCACTTCCCCTTCCTCTGGGACCTTCCTTGATTATGGGACTCTTTAGTTTGCTGTTAATGTACGTCACTGATTTGTGGGGTGTCCAATTCTTGGCATTTTTATTGGACTTAATGGTAAGGCCCTGAGGGTTTAGGGTTTGATATGAGCTGAGGCTGTCTATTTTAGTTTTTAGGGGCACTTCTTGCTTTTCTCCCCTACAACTTGATGTTTCGTACAAGGACAAATCCTTTTCTTTTGCGTACCCCTTTCCCAGTTTCGTCTCTTCCCTATTTATGTGTGTTTTTTAGTCCCTCCCTTCAGATGAGGAATTGTCACAGTCAACTAACTTCGAGAGACAATATGTTATGGAATTGATTCAATTGAATTATGATGGCACTCTCTGTTATCTTGGCAATCATTATGTGCCAAGTTAACCAAGTTAGTTTCCAAGGCCCCAGACAGCCAGTTCAAAGATTCTGGATGACTCAAAGTAAGTGGTTCATAATTTTCTCCTTGTTGCATTTGGCTTGACTTTCTTTATGAGTATTTCAAAAGTTTCAGTTGTATCCAATGACAAAAGAGTGAGAAGTAATGGCTTCAATAGAAATTATTATGCGTTTTCCTTTTTCTGGATGCAGAAAGAAGATAGAGAAAAGGACAGAATAGAATCAACGCAATACAGAAAATGGAGAGCCTCCATTGATTAACAGGATAACACAAGTATTCTTCCGCATATAGGTTTAGATTCTGGGAGAAACAAGCATATAACTGGATTTCATAATCCTTCATTGAGTTACAAAATTATGTTGCACTCTATCAATGAGACGATCAATGACTCCAAATGACTAATTAACCAAGCAGAAAGTCGAAATTGTAAATACTTATCGACTACAAAATAACTACCAATATTCAACTTAATAATCATGCATCATGTGTGCATGCACGTGTCTGTACCATCACAACCAAGCTCAACAAGACGAAGAACTGGAAGTGCAAATTTACCGAGTTATGGAAATTATGGGCAGAAGACTTCATCAATCTTGTGAAGTACGCCTCATCCCATGGCTCTAACCCTTCATCTAATTGGCCACTTATTTCTCTCTTAAAATCCAATATTTTTTTGAACTCCTACAGTAACAGTACCATAAAGCTGTGAACAAACATAATAGAGCCTACAGCAGAAATAGATAGGTTACCAATATTTAATTTCTAAACCATACACTTCACTTAATATCATACCTCCTCAGCCTTGGGCCTGACCATTTTGCTCATATCAAGCAGAAAGGGAAGCACAACTTCTGGTGAAGAAGCCATATTATCTTTCAGAGCAAATTCAGCATAAGATTTATATCCCACAATCTGCACAGATAAACTACATAGCACATTAAAAGCAGGCAATACTAATATAAAAAAGTTCAGGATCAATTCTCTTCGTGCATTGAGTGGACACAAGTTCACGAAAGTTGAGCATGGTTCGCATGGACCCCAGTGATCATATGACAGCATTTTGAGAATGATAATGAGCTCAGGATTTTACATGGCTAGTTAATAGTAATAACAAGTAAAGAAATGCAAGAAAAGAATAGTGCGTAAAAAAACTATCCTTACTAAAGGAAATGGAGACAACAATATAAAATACTGAACACTTAAAATTGAACTTGTATACCATAACCTATGACATGGAGACAAAGGACATAGAACACGATAAAATTCAATTTTGATTCATCACAGTAATCTTTCAGGTCAGTTATTTTCAGAACATGCTATTTGCTTGAAGAGAGGATTATAGGTCTGTAAAAATTACAGCAGCCATATTTTCTGCTTCATCATTTGTCATTCAAGTCCATGAACTGGAAATGTTGAACCATATTGATTAGAGGTGTTTATGGCATTCTCTTCATTTGTGGTTCAATTCAGGGACTTTGAGTGTGTGTGTGTGTTTTAAGCATATCTCTGTACAGGTGTTGTCACTTGTAAAGAAATCAACATTTGAAGTATGAAATGCTGTGTTAGATCCTTTGTTTCTTGCTTGTACTTATTCCAGTAATCTGACTGATTGTGTGAGTGTGTGTGTGTTTAAGCATATCTCTGTACAACTGTTGTCACATGTAAAGAAATCAACATTTGAAGTATGAAATGCCAGGTGTTAGATCCTTTGACGCTTGCTTGTACTTATCCTTGTAATCTGACTCATTATAATGAATTAAAAAATTCATACAATTGAATGAATTATTCCATTTTTTATGTAAAAGGCTTCTTGGAAAGTCAATTTCATCCTAGTAAATGTAAATTATATCAAACAACTGTGCACATAATTAAACATATCATCTCCATTAAGGTACTCCACTATATGAACAAGAATACCAAATCCGAATATTACTTTCTTTTGAAGACATGTGGCATACTAACCTCAGCAAACTCGTGACGAGCTGCAATAAGCTTATCAAGAACCACCAAGTTTGCTCGGGGCACAGAATTTCCTCTGACATAAGCTAGCTTTCTAACCTGGATAAGATCAATATAAAAACATAAAAAGAAATCTTTTGAAAAATCAAATATGCTACTTTTCTCAACTACAGGAAATAAAATCCAGTCTGCCAAAGAAATCTACTGATCACCTTACAACACACTGCTGTCTAAATTTGAATTTGCACAAAGTTTTAGAAAAGAGTTAAAAAAAGTTTTTTGTAATTTTTCACTTCCGTCTCAAGAATAAAGGCCAAGAATCCTAATTTGTAGCACAATATACTTTTAAGTAAAAGTACTTTTGGAAGTAAATACCCCAGGAAAAGGTTACTCTGTGGACGTCAAAAAAGGAAATAGGAATGTTCACTTGTAGAAAGACATGTAGGAGGTCTAGATCAATACTGATGGAGGTATTATAAATAATACCGTTAAAATCCTTGCAACCAATCTGGCACTGGATGTAATAGGAGAATTGTAGGAGAAGGGGAAAAGGAAGAAGGAGAAGAGAAAGGAGGGGGAAGAAGCGGGGGGAGAGGAAGAGAGAAATTGGGGAAGAAATTTGATTTATTTCATAATAATCAAGTTATCCCAATTACATCGCATAATACCCCTTTTATGGGGTTTTAAAAGGCCTTATTCTAAGTAAGGAAATAATATAAAATCAACTCTAATTACATTTCCTAAAATAAACTTTAAAACTCGAAAACTAATATCAATTATAATATTCCATCACAATCTCCTTTTACTCGCAATTTATATCAAGTCACAAAGTGTGCGTGCGTCACATTTACTCTTGTTGACCAATATTTTGCTATAGAAAGTGAAATCTGTTAAAAAACTCTACTTGCTCAGTCCAAAGGAGAACATAAAAGTCATATTTCAAAGGTAAAATTTCTTATTCAAGATAAATATCATCTAAGTCTTACAAGAAGCTACCTCAGGATCTGAAGCTAACTGCAAAATAGAGCACAGAGCATCAGGCTCTGTCCTTAAACGAAACCCTCTCTCTCTTTTGTTACCATCCAGCACTGTTGATAACCTTGGTTGCCCTGATGGACGGTAAATGGGCTTGGCGAGATGGTGCAAATTTTTAGGTACACGTGACCCTGGAAATATATCCACATGACCTGGGTCCGCGACAATATTTTCATTGAACCTGATCAGGAGAAAAAGTGCATGCAAAATAATTTCACTACCAAAATTAGCCAATCTAATGCCTTCCAAAGTTAAAAGAAATATTAGACATAAATGAACTGTAAAAAATGAATTGCACAATCACCTCAAATGGCTTGTAAAGCTCCTTCATCACATACAGATCTAATATAAATGTATGTTACTAGTTTAATACTATATTAGTTTATTATAGTTTCCTAGTTTGACTAAATTTAGGATATTGTTCTAACTTGCCTAAATTAGGGTTTATTTTTTTCCTTCACAAACTAGATTTGTTTGGACTTTATATAAATAGAGCTTATGCATTTTAATACTAAAAACTTTGATATGAAATAAACTTAATATTCCCCCCTAAAGTTTCTGTATCTCTCCCTCTTCTTCTTTTTCTCCTCACTCTTCCTCTTTGTCAAACTTGTTTTTGTTCGACTGTGTTCATCGTCAATTTGGTACCAGAATAAGTCATTTCCTTTGACCAAATAATTTTTCTAAAGTTTAGATAGGTGTTCAAGTTCAAGAGTTTATTATAACCACCACTTCCTCTACCATCTTCCACATCCATAACCACCATCAAACAACTGTTTTTCCTTTTGAAACACCAAAATTTTTTCCAATAGAACAGATTCAAATAAAAGAAAAGTAAAGGGAATCAACAATTAGCAATCAGCAGGAAAATCAAATCTGCAAAAAAATAATATTGTTCATCATCATTATTCATTGATACTGTTTGTCCGAGATTTTTTTCTTTTTCTTTTTTGCTGTCCTCGAACTGTTCATCGGTAACCCAAATTTTAAGTTAGATTAGTTATTTCGTTATTACTCTTAGTTTTCAATGAAAAAAGGACAAAAAAATATAAAAAGATGAAAAAATAAAAATTAAATAGAAGTATAGTGTTAATATATACAAGTTCTATAGCAAGCACAAATTCTCCAATATCCGACTTAGTTGAACGTTTTTACTAGCTTGTGCACTCAATTTTTCTGCCACTTCCTTTACCAACAATGGGGTAACTAATTCGAACATTGGTGGATCGCGCATGATTGGCAATGATTTACACGTTGGGTTTTTGATGCATTATTATAAAAGATATTATATTATTTAGCTTTCAATTTTGAAGCTTATTTTAGGAAACACGATTATGGTTTGACTTTATAGTATCTCCTTACTTAGAATAGGGTCTCTTGAAACCCTATATCAAGGGGTTTATGTGATGTAATTCGGACAACCTTTGATAATGAAATATTGATATTTTCTTCCCTATCTCTCTATTATCTCCCTCTCCTTCTCTCTTTTCCACTCATTTCTCTTCTTCTCTTCCCTTCCCCTTCTCCAATAATTCATTCATTGCATCCTGCGTCAGGTTCAAGTATCAATTTTGTTCTACTGAGACTTTAAATTTCATTTATTGACTGACTTTTTATTTTAAAAAAAGAAAAAAGAAATGTTGTGGTGTACCTGTCAAAAAGTTAGGAGACCAATTGTTGACAAATGAAAAAAAATTCAGCCTTTGCTATCTTTTAATAAGCTCCTACCTTTACTTGAATGAATTACGAATTTGCTCTCACAAGTAGACCAATCACCTGCCATTTTCATGGTTACATCTCTTTCTTCAGCTGCCAAAGCATTAGTTTCCAATAACCTATTAAAACATCCACATGTTGCTATACTGGTAGCAATTCCTTCCTCCCCAAGTGAAATATTCCGAATCACTTACTTGATGCCCCAATGCAGTACATCTTTCCATAAAGTATATCATCATTTGCATTACTATCTAACAGCTCCACCAAGTTGTATGCTAAAGGAGCTAGAATACTTGAAACTATGACTAATAAGATGTATTGTTTCATCATATTGGACCTAGATTGTGAGTAAATGATAATTTACATGTTCCAACATTTTCTTTTAACCTAAAAGAACCTCATCTAGGGAATATCTTTACATCTATGGAGACAGTTATGACCCTATTATTAGAAGAAAGTGACAATCTCTCTCTAGACTTGCTTCCTCTCCTTTGCATAGTGTGAAAAAGAAAAATAAGATAGTTTTTTTTGGTTGAAATGAATGTGGTAGAAAGACTTTTTGGGAAGTGAACTATTAAGATTAAACCTTATCACAATCTATAAAAATTTTAGGAGTTTGTTTCAATAATTATAATACAGTTTTATCCTCCTTTTACACAGAGGTTGATAGTTCAGAGCCTTTTCGTTATCACACATGCAATCGATACACTTAACATTAACATAGTTGGAGAATTACGTATGCCAACTAACCTAAACATTTAATATGTCCTCAACTTCGTGCTAAAATTGTCCTTGTTGACTCCTTTTCGTGACTTCAACATTGACTTTGAAGTGCATTATCTCAATTCCAGTACTCCCCGAGTAGTCATGTTTTCCAAGGTCACTATTCGATCACATGCTTTTCCTGTTAAAATCTGATTATTGCCTATTAATTATCCTCATATTCTTTTAACTTCGGCCTCTATTTCTCATTTTTCTGATTTTAATACCAAGAAAAATCAATAAGGCCCCGTTTGGTACCCATTTTTTTCAAAATGCATTTTTCTCTCTCTTCTTTTCAACCACACATTCTTTATTAAAATAATATTACACGTAAATCAAAAACTTTTCTTTATTTTTCAACCACACATTTCCCATCAATTTACTATTCAAAAATGCATTTTTACATAAAAATGTCTCCCAAACACCCTCTAACTTATTTGAATAATAAAAGTTATAAGTTTGCTTTTGACGTACAATTTAGGCATGGATGTTTTCGCGCTAAACTTTGTCTTGTTACATGTTTCTTTGACACATTTTTCGAAATGTGTAAAAAAAAAAAAAAAATTGGAACGCTCACTTAATATTAATGTATCTGATAAACCATCACTTGAATGAATGTTATGTTTTCAATATAGAAGAATTGTTTCCTTATCGGGACACATTCGAGTCATCGTTGTTGCAATAATTTGTTTATGCAGGTCAATCCATTGTAATAGTCCCTTGTTCTCCTCATTACATGCAGCCAATTGATTTTTTTGTGGATGGATTGCACTTTATGCTACATTTCAGAGTTTGACATCGGTATTTGATTCAAAAGAAAAATCGCCTCATTGTTATGAGTTCAATCATATATTCATGTCAAGAGTTCTGTACAAACACTAGGTGAAGATAAAAGATCGATCTTCTTAGAGCATGAAGTTGCAATTTATATTGCCAGCGTCGAATTCTCTCAATCGGGAAAAAATGATAGGAATTAAGATAGTTTAATCTTATATTAGTTTATTATAATATCCTAGTTTGAATAAAATTTGGATATTGTTTGATAGGTTTTTTAGTTTGACTATTTAGGGTTCATTTACTTTGTTTCCTTCTCAAATTAGATTTGTTTGGACCCTATATAAAGAGGGCTTGTGCATTGTAATACCAACAACTTTGATATGATAAAAACTTAATATTCTTCCCCCTATATTCTCTCCCTTCTCTTTCTCAATTCTCTTAATCTTTTATTCTCAATCTTGTTCTTGTTCGATTGTGTTCTTCATCAATATGTGACCCGCAAATATCATCATCAGTTGCAGGTACACAACTGTGAAAGGAACCTATTGCACCAGTTAAATTTTCCTCTCTGTAACTAAATGCATACATAAAGAACAAGTGAACCAAAAGGAAAAGTTGAACATGGATTGCAGCTTCTGAATCTCAATGTCAAAATACCATGATTTTACATAAATGTGAAGATACTTATTGAACCACTGAAATCTTTCCTCACTGTGACAAATCAGATACATAATAACCAATAAATAAGGAACCAAAAGGACAGTTCAGACATGTATTGAAGCTCCTAAATCTCAGTGTTAGAATACCATGATTTCTAAACCTAGTCAAGATACATGCACTAACAAATGCTTTGGATGAAATTACAGAAGTCTTAAGAGTTTCAAAAAACTACTCTAATATCCAGAATTTATCGAGCATCTGGGGTTTATTGATACTGCTCATGCAAATAGACCTTGACTACAGATATTTAGGGAATATTCCAGAGACGTCAATAAGGGATTATTAAAGGAAAGATGAGATGAATAATAAATAATTTTGTACGTAAACCCGGAAAATACTTTTTAACCAAACAATCTTCAAAAAAATCGCTGTTACAAAATTCATATTTTATGAAAATGAGGCTCAGACAGGTTCTTCTTGAGTTCAGGAACTGTGAAGTTGATTTGTTTGGGAAAGCAGGTATCAACAGCTGGATTTCAAATCCGTTCTTTTTGAACAACACGTAGAAGACTATACAGCAATAATAAGCAAAACAACATAATATAACCAGAGAAAGAATACTAATATTGCTAAAGCAAGATGATAGTTATTCTAACAATTTTTCCATCTTATTTCATTAATTTGGGATGTTTAAAAGCTAAATATCCTTGTGATTCAAATATTCAACCATTTAACTACGATAATCTATGGTTCATCCTCTCATTCATGTATATACATGGGCGAAAGATGAACTTCATGAAAGTGCAGCCTTGATTAGTTCCTACTTGCATTAGCAGCATAAAACTTAAAGAGAACAGTAAAAAAGTAAAGATATTGGGAACATACTCCCTGCAAAGCCGAACAATGTCTGTGTTCAGTTGATTAACTCGATCCAATTTTTCTGTAAAGAAAAGAAGGGATCTTCAACAAGTGCAAGAGAAAAAGATAATTCAAATAGTTGGAGAAACAATCATTACCAGGGCTGAGATGAATGCCACCCTTCTCCAAGTCTATACGCAGATAATGGGCTGCCCTTTGAGCTTCTTCAGTAAGCAAATGGTGATCCTTCTCGGCTTTTACAACCGCATGATACAAAGTGCAATTCGAATTAAGATACTGCAAACCAGAAGGAACATGCCTATAGGCAATATAATATGGTACCAAATCCTGATCTTACAAAAGAAACTTTCTTATCTTCTAGCTTTCTCCAGTATGGTTTAGAAAGGGAGAAAAATCTTAATTTCATTCCACTATCCATAGAGAGTTCAAAGCTGAAGCAATAATTTTTTCTGAATCAAATAGAAGATGACTTCCATCGTCCAAAGGTATTACCTTACACTTTGCGTCATATTTATTTATGGTTGACTTCAGCGTAAAACAATCTTAGATCCTTCCCAGAGCAATCACCATAGGTTCTCTTTGATTTAGAGAGTCACCGTTGTATTGTTAGAGAATATTATCAAGAAATTTATATCTGAGTATGAATATTACATATTCTCATTCTGTGTTTTCTAAGCCATAGATATAAAAGATAATTCACTGAGCATGATATGTAATTACCAATAGTAACTAAGTAGATAATGTATTAAGAAACCACTGTTCAGGGGTCAACTCACATGTAGATATTCATTTATGCGGAGTGATGCATTGCTTGCCTCCTCGACAAATTCCCTGGAAAAAAAAAATGAATATAGTAATGACCTAAAAGTTGCAAATGCACGTAATTCACACCAATGCAACAGCACTCACCTATCAGGATGTGTATGCCTACACAACTCTGCAGAGTCAATAACTGTGCAAACCTACCAATAATCAAACACTTCCATCATTTCTTATCACTGAAAGGTCAGACATTTATTGGAAATTCCAGAATGTCTCTAGTGTGGGGTGTGGGATTGCCATGGTTACAATCGGGACCAGTACCAATATTCTAACATGTCTATCTCTCTCTTCTAGTTTGTCTCGTCCACAAACAAAGCACATTGTGCTGTGCGTAGTACTTGCAGTTACCACAAGTCCAGAATTGGAATAGTATTATATTCCCACTTTCGGACTTTCCAATAAAAAAATATTTATTGTACTATTAATGCTCAAAAAGATTAAAGTAACAATATATAACTTAATTCATAAGTCTGATATGACTATGTTATGATTCATCGTAAAAGCTTAAAGCCAGGGCAAAAGATAAAGACAACATACTGCATTTGATATTTCATCCATGGCGTCGATAATTTCTGGACCTGAAGGCATTCCAGCAATATAACTTACGAGTTCATTAGACCTAGTAAGCACATCAAATCAAAATTGAAACAATGTGACGAATTTATCTAAATCTTAAAACCGCAAAAAATAATTTTTCCAACTGTGTTACCGCTCAATAGCATCATCGACCATTCGTCGAAACCCTTTGGCCGTTTTCAAGTTGTCGAATCCATAGAGACCGGTTTCTCTGATTAATGGAGCTGTGGAGGTGTGTACACAATGACGGGCGGGGATAAAATACGCAGCTGATCTGCGGATTAGGGTTTGCATAGTGGAAAACAGTTGAAATTTTAAGCTGAAAACAGTAGAGAAGCTGTCGTCTGCAGATGGGGAAGAAGAAGACGCTTATCTATTCAAACTGTGAGCTTGTTTGAGCCTCTTTATTTAGAAAAACTGCATTTTTATTTTGTTTTTATTTTAACAACATATTTTTCGTTAAAATAATATTACACGTAAATATAAAATTTTTCTTTACTTTTAATCATATATTTCTCATTAATACACTATTCAAAAATTCATTTTTTCGTCCAAAATGGAGCTCAAACTAGTGATCAATTGCGTTTTGAACTAAGAATTCCTTGAATTACATAAACCCCATGAAAATGGGGTAATTTCAAACCATACTTTGAAAAATTGAATATTTTCACGATAAATATAGTTTCGTTTAAAGGACATTACTATCCTTTCAATTTATAAGTGAAAATCAAACATTTCCCACTTAGGGCCCGTTTGGTAGAGATTTTAAGAATTGATTTTTTGACCGTTAGAAGAAAAGTGGGGTCCACATGTGAGAGAAGAAGTCAAAAATTACGGCTTGAATAGTAAAATAACGGTCAAAAAATTAATTTTTTGGGGTAAACAATCCCTACCAAACGGGGCCTTAAAACTTTAAAGTTAGATAACATTTTTTATCTATTTATTTCAACACGGATAATTTTTTTCTCATCTTTCATATGCTTTAATCTCAAAATTTCATAAATTTATCAAACGCTAAGCAAGAAATTTTTTTATATTAATCACTTTGAGTCGATAAGTATATTTACATATATTTAATTTAGTCTTCGTTAGATATATATGTTTTAATCGATAAATCTTATTTCGAGATAGATTAACATGTAAATAAATTTTATAATAGATCTACACTTTTTTTAAGCATGAACAAGAAAAAATTTCATCTACATAATCGACCGGCCGTAATAGCCGAAGGTAACCAACGTAACAGCCTATTGTTAATAGCAGCCAGCTGTTATGTCAGTAACGATCGACTATTAATAGCCTGTCATAACAGTCGACTGTAAAACTTTTTTTTAAATAAAATTGAACCGAACTTTTGACTACTTTTTTCTTATAATTAAAATTTTTGTTTCGTAATGCAAATGTGGTTGTAATCTCAGGTTGTTTTTTGGTGATTTTGAATTGGATGGAAATGATCGATGGATATGAAAATAGATGAGTGATATGTGTCGTGGTATTCCAATTTCTATAATAGAGAGTACATCATATGCTAGAATGTACCATGACTTACAAAACAAGCTGAATGTCGATCATTCTCAGTGTGACATGAAGCTTAGATTTTTATTCAACGAGCATTCATCAATTCTGATTCCACCTATGAAAGTTACTTCTAATGCTGAAATGAATTATCTATTTGAATTTAACAAAGCACACGACTCCTCTTTACATAACTTTAGTGAGGAAGGATATCGTCAAATGTGAACACGAAGATTCGGATGGAGAGAATAATAATGCCAATTATTTTTGGCATGCAGTGGAGATAACTCGTGAGAACGATGTAGTTATTTTCCAGCTAGTTGCTCCTCATTGTGATCTCGTTGTTAGACAATGACAATGAAAATGCATTTAGAATGAGGATTTAATTGCTTTATTCTGTCAGAGACATGAGCAAGCTAGGAGCTTGGGGGCTGGATTGAGTGAACCGCCGCCTAACTCTTCGCGTGTAGTTCTCGATGATGAGAATTTGCATGTCGAACAACTGTTTGAAACAAAGAAAGATTTACAAAAGGCTGTGCACGGGATGACATTAAAATACAACTTTGAGCTTAAGGAAAAGAAATCAAACAAGCTACTGTTGACGATTGTCTGCATCGACGACAATTGTCATTGGCACTTGCGAGCGACTATAATGAACATGAATGAGTTATTTATGTTTGTAAGTATATACAGGAAAATACTTGCGAAATGGAAATGCGTCAAAACGATCACAGACAAGCTCGAGTATGGTTTATTGGTCGACAAATAATATACAAGTATCAGGACTCATGGACAATCTACAAACCTTCAGACATCATTAACGACGTCTATCGAGAATACGGAATGGTCAAGAGCTACCAGAAGGCCTAAAATGCCAAAAAATGCACGTTGGAGGATTTAATGGGCTCGACCGAGGAGAGCTATGCTAAATTGGCCAGATATTGCCATATAACATGGGGGAAATTAATCCTAATTTAGCATTTTTTATTTAAACGGCAGGCGATAATTGCTTTAAGTTTTTCTTCATAGCTCTTGGACAATGCATTCATGAATGTCGAAATGCAATGCAACTTCTAATTCTAGTTGATGGTACAATTCTGAAAGCTAGATATCAAGGCAAGCTGATTATTGCTATATATCAAGACGCCTACATCCAAATTTACCCCATTACATTCTGCATAGTCAATAGCAAAAATGATTTATCAATGTTTTTTTTCTTTACAAAGTTGAGGGAGGTGATCGTGAAAGTCAAGGACCTTGTTTTCGTAACTGATCGGAGATCGTCTATAATAAGTGGTAGCACTGAAGTTTTTCCCAAAAGCATATCATGGGTATTATATGTACCATGTACAAGGTAATCTGAAGACTAGGTAATTGGGCAAAGACCTCATTTCATTGTTCAGGAGAGTGACCAAAGCTTACAATGTTGAAGAGTGTAATAAGTTCATGGTTGAAATAGGAAGTATATCATTCTCGGCATGGGAATATCTAATAAAAATGGGGATCAAACATTGGGTGCGGTTGCATTTTTTAAGACGTCAACACAACATGATGCTATCGAACGACGCGGATCTTTCAATGCATTGTTCAAGAAAGATCGAGAGTTACCAATTTTTCCAATGATCAAGAACATTCATAACAAGCTACAGTAGTGGTTTTACGATCGACGTGGGGAATCACAGAATTGTACGAGCGTGCTAACCCCTGCTCAAGAGGACAAACACTTTAAGGCTGCAGAGGTTACAGGAAAATTGAATATGGAACCATTGAATGAGTTGCGCTTCTCCGTAAAATGTGTACGTAATATGGTATATATGGTGGACTTAACTGATAATAGATGCACATGAAGTTGATTTCAGTTTTAGAACTTTTCATGTGAGCATGTAGTTACGGTGGCCATGTATCGAGGCTTTGTAGTGAGAACATAATGCTCTCCTTATTACACGACTGATTTTTGGAAAGCAGCATATATTGAGATTATATTTCCTCTACCGAATGAAGTTGAGTGGGAAGTTCTCGACCATATTCTCCCATTTAATACATTGTTACCACCAAAAGTTGAACCACATAGTCATGGACGTCCACGTATATCTAGAATACTATCCATCAGAGAGTTTTCTCGACCATGTAGATGTAGCAAGTGCATAGCAATAGGTCATACTCGTCAATTTTATACAAGTCAAATTCTCCTAAAATAACAATTTGACCAATGTGTAATGATGTCGCTATTAAATGAACAATATTTATATTTGTTTTACAATATTCATAATTATTTTATAATTAAATAAACAATTATTTCATAATTAAAAAAATTGAATGTCTAATATTCACATAAATTTTACATATTTACAATTATTTCATAATTAAAAAAAATTCAATGTACAATGTTTGCATAAATTTTACAATATTTACAATTATTTCATAAATAAAAAATAATTCAATATATAAGACTTACGTATCACAATTAAATTCATGTAAATCACACGCTAACTTATTTCTTCAAATTAGTATCCATAATTGATTGATTTAATCAATCTTATGTATTTATGTATTTACTAAAAAAGTCAATGTATTTTATAACGAACATGCCGCAATCACCCCCATCATTGAACAATAATGTGTTAGTTCGGCACTGATCGATATTAAATGGCACGCCGCAAGTGCACGGGTCGCGATCAAGTAGTATAATGGACCTTTTAAGTCCCGGTCGATCCCTCAGAGAGTGTTGTTTTCAATTACGAGTGTCTTTGTTTCAAATTAACGAAAAAGATACACACATTTAAAAGTTCGATTTTAAAAACTATAAAAAGGCGAAAACTCGATTTTGATTTAAAATACTTAAATAATACTTAAAAAGTGGAAAAGCTTGATTTTAAAAGATATTGGAATTTAATGATTTCGCTTAACCCTTTTCAAGCCAATTATGCGCAGATGCAAATTACCAAACTATGTGGTTAGACCCGATTTTTCAAAATTAGTCAATAACCTCTGTCGAGCGATATCAACCCTAATTGCTTGGCATTAACATATTTCTATGTCGTTCTAAACCAAACAACTGCACTCAATTTTTGTGAAAATAACTCAACGGGTCACATGGGGTAGGTATACATGTCTGGATACCTAAACGCGTATAGTCGAAACCATACAAACCTATGGTATTAATTATTTTGGTCCATTATGTGCAACTATTTTTCAATAATTACGCAACTACCTAACCACAACATCTATTGACGTCAAATAAATGTAGTAATCTTAAACATGATAATTAATACACCAATATTTGATAACAAATGCATATCTAACAACATATAACACGATATTAATGAAAATAGGTTAAGCTAATACATAAATTCCAACATAAACTTGTTTAGTTCATCATTCTAACAAAATAACAAAGAGATTCTCATAAACATATCATTACAAACATGAAGAACTAAATGAAAGGAATACAAAAGTTGAGATAAAACCCTTTTAAATACGAATTGTAATTCCTTCAATGTATTCTTCAAGCTTTCCTTAATGATCTCATTGCTATATCCACTTGATTCCCAAAATAAAACTAAAATTAACAAAAGAAAATAAAACTAAAAGAAGAAAAATCAAGAAAAAGAGAGAGAGAGACCAAGAGAGATAAAGATAAAAGTGAAAGAGTTGGGGAATTTTTTTTACCTACCAAGTTATATTAGTATATATATGGAATATGTATAAAATATAATATATAAAAAAAAGATATTATTAGACACATAAATATCCTAAAAATATCTAGCATAAAATAAGGATAAAATATATATATATATATATATATATATATATATAGACACAACATAAATATCCTAAAAATATCTAGAATAAAATAAGGATAAAATAATAAAAATGTTG